GTATATAAAATCAAAGATTGATTATAAGTTTATAACCAATCGAATCCAGTCCATTATACAAACGAAAAATAAAATGAAAAACAATAGAAAAACCAGTTTCCGTAAATTAACCGTTCTTTTGGCTAAAAGGTAAAAAAATGAATTCATTTAAATTATAGTAATTTAGTTTTCAATTTTTTATATTGATATTTGTCAGGCCGTTAAATATCCGGATAGAATTTGGATTTTTACCGAAAACAAAAACATTTACTGAAAAAAAAAAAAAGAATACAATGTTCCTGCAAAGGCTCTCCTCTCTGTTCCCTGTCCTAACCAAAAGGTTGGTTCTGCGAATGGGATCAGTGCATATCTGTCACTCCACGATAGAGAAACAACAATTTCGTTCCAACTAAACCCATGTAGCTGACGAATTTTGTTTATTTCATTTTTAGGTCACAAAGTCGCTTGCTTTCATCTCCGGCAACTTCTTCTGCTCAAAATTGGGTATTTTCTGTGTTCCGCAACAACTTACAAGGTTTCATTTTTTTCGTCCAATATGTTTTAATCTTAAACTTTATTCTATGCTCTCTTCGACTCTGAGGTTTTTCAGATCTTTGGTCTTGATTCCTCCATTTAGTAGACGAGGTGTTTGTGGAAATGCCGCAGAGAATTTATTTTGTTCACAACTCTTTTATTTTTGTTGGAAAATTGATAAAAACTGGGCTACACGGATGTAGGAAGAGCTGCAGAAGTTCTCATCTTACGCCTAATATGGACCAAACATGAGAAAATGGCAGTATAAGCTATCTGAGGAATTGGGTTTATTTCTTAGGTTTATTTGACCTCCATAAGTCACAATCAGCTCTCTAAAGTACACATACTTCTTTTAATCTTATTAGTTGGGGATCTACAAGCAAAATTTTCCTTTTGAGAGTAATTTTAAGACACACATCAGTTGACAAGTCTGCCTTCTTGTCCTTGATGTTGTTAATGTTAATGGATTGTTTAAAAAGTATTTGATTGTGTTTGGTTATGAGTGGTGTTCGTTCATGGCTCTATATATGTGGCTTTATTTACATTTTAGTAGTTTCAAATGTCTTGCAGCAACTCGATCATATGCAAGTGGAAGAGGTAAAGACTACAATCTATTTGGTAATGTGAAACCTGGTGATGATGAATTTAGAAAAGCCTGGGAGAAAGAAATGGAGGATGATAATACTCTGTGGTCAGGAAGTGAAGACGAAAATGATGATTATGCAAAACAAGAAACTGGAAGAAACCGGCTTGAAAAAGAGGTTAAAAGAGCTAGACAACAAGCTAAAGATAGCTCTGATTTAATCGACGCGGATGATAGTGATGAGTTATACAGTGTTTGGTCAGGAAGTGATGAGGAGAAAACGTTGTGGACTGGCGACGAAGGTGATGATGACGATGATATTCCAACAGAACCACGCCCGAACGAAGCATCTGATAAATACTTAGATAAGTTGTTTGAGTTTGAAGAGAAACCAAAGTACAGGACAATCTCAGAGTTGTTGACATCTGAAAATGAACCTGAGGAGCTTTCACCCGGTAAAGAGGCGAGGAAGCTTGCTGTTGAGAACGCGCTGAAGAAACTGAACAAAGGGCCTGACGGGCGTTACACAAACGTGTGGGAAGTGATGAGTGATGTCGACATTCTGATTGGAGCTTTCGAAAACATTATCTCAGGACCTGAATATGAAGAGCTAAGAAAAGGTGGACCTAAGAGATTAAACATGCAGTTCTTCAAGGATATACAAACTCGGATGAGAGATCCAAACTTCAAATTCACACCTGAGATAAAGTTAAAGCCCAAGAGTAAACTAGTGCCTAGGAAGAAATGGCAAAAGGCACAGTCCAGAAGAAGGAAAGCGCAGAAGCGGTAAAAGCTTCTTGCTTGTTCAATGATTTTGATAGACTTAACAGGTAAATCCACTCATCTTTTACAGATTGATTCATCATAGTAATTCAAATACCAAATGTATTTTCCTGTGATTTCTTACTGCTGTGTTGATTCAAAAATGGATCTTTGTAGGTTCAAAAACATGCTTAGAGAGCATCAAACATCTTCCACAATAATGGCTTTAAGAGTCTTATTATTCTTTCATCCTAATAATGTCTATCCTGTGAGAAATCGGTGCCGTGATTAAACAGCTTTCCTTTGCCGTGATTCTAATCTGGACTTTATATTCCTTCTTCTAAAGAGAGAAGCTTTGAAAGAAAAGCTAAAAGATGCTTTGGTCCCTCTTGGACATTTTTGTTTTGGGGGAAGAAGAATACAGCTTTTTGCACTTTGATCTTCAAAAGTTTTCTTTTCTTCGTTTGGTGTTAAAAGTTGGCATTTGTAATGTGACACCTCTCTTGCCCTTTGAAGCTTATTCTAAACAAAATGTTAAAAAGGATGCAATTTGCTTAATAAATCATAAGATGCTATTTTTTGAGTCTCTTCCTAATATTCTTCTTTGTTTACTTATTAATTTATATAATTGTCAAAGTATCATTCATGTCCTATAGGAATTCGACAAATTCACCAACATTGGCTGCTTAATTGGTCCATTATTAGACCCATTTTCACTCTTATGATTCCACTTACCTTATGGTTATTGATTAGACTTCTCGGAAAATCAATCAACCAAATTTGAAACGTATAAAGTTTCATATAAACCATACCTAACATTACGAAGCAAAACAAAAAAAGAAAACCAAAAAATATTTGTATCGTCTTATTAGTTTGATTCCGTGTAAAAATTGTCTCTATACTTTTATTACATACTTTCTACGTTACCACCATTTTGTTTCTTTTTTCCTTGTGAGAATATAGTAGCAAAAGTAGCCGTGTATCCAAAATACAAAGAAGAAATAGACATTATCTTCTCACATGATGGAACAAGCGGCATGGACGTTGTCGTCGCTAAAAAGGGAAACGTAGTTTTCCTCAGGCGCGTTTGCGGCTGGAAACGCTTGTGTTGGATTGCGGATGTGGCCCGCGGGTGCGCGTTTGTCGTACATGCCAGGAGCGAAAGGGTAATAGACCATATGTTGAGGTATGTATGGCCAAAACTCTGCCTTCTTCCCTGTGCTCTTCACTCTCTTCAACACCTTGTTTGGGTCCACGTGTCCATTTACCGTTATCCGGCTCTGTTTCCGGTTTACCTCTACCGATTTCACCCCTGTAGAGATTCGGTTCCAATACCAAACCCAAGTCAAAGATGAATAAACCATTTTAGCCAGTTCAAAGAAACATTTTGTTATATGAAAAATGTTTGGCCATTTTCCCTTCTAAAGTAGCATTTTGTTATATGAAAATGTTTAGCCATTCGAAAACTTCAAGCTTTAAAGACGATAGAAGAAAAAAGGAGAAGCAAAATTTCCAAGAATGGTTATAGTGAAATGAAATGCTCTAGATAGATAGAATTTTGGGGAATTATTTAATCCTGTTGTAAACGAAATATCATCATTCATAATTTGTGGGATGTTATGAAGTGGTGCTATAGACAGAAACAAAAACTACGGTTTTCAAAATTTAATATATAAATAATGTTCCTAGTTTTATTTTTAACAGAAAAACTACTAAAGAATTAGATTTACAATATCGTTGACAATAAATAGACATAGTATCAGAAGACTATATTGGAATTTTAATAAGAAATGTATATAATATTTTAATATTTAGATTTAATAATGCAAACAATCTTAAACTAAAACGTTTTTCTTACCAAATTCTTTTACAATCATTTATCAGCTTCTTATTTTTTTTTCTTAGGCCAAAACATGATATAAAAATAATATAAGTTGGATCAAATCTACTGATAATTTTGTTGTATGCATATATATGAAGGTAGATTTCAGACCATTTTAATTAGAGTATTTCTAATCCTACTTCAGTTTTTTTTTTTTAATTTAAATGTTATTTTGGAGAATAATATTTTCTAATCCTATTTATCATTCTATTTTTTTAACTCGTCACTCTATTTTTTAATTTTAAAATAAAGTGGATTGGAGTAAAATCCACGACATGTTAAAGTCATTCCATTTTGAAGTAAAAAATAGAGTAATCAACTAGAGATGCTTTTATAATGTTTCCAGACCAAAATATGTACGGTACTTAAAGATTTGAGCAAATGATGAGTAATTTTAATTAAGTTGAGAGAGCTATAAAATTGTAGGAATAAGAATCTCTAAAAGAGATAT